AGCCAGGTCCAGGCTATGGGGCAGGAAAGACCGTAGGGCAGCGGGGATGGCACTCGGCTGAGAATCGGGACACCTGGGTTCCATTCCTGGCTCTGCCTCCTGGGTGACCGTCCCTTCTCTTGTGCCTCAGTTCCCCCACCTGTGATAATTTGGGAGTCCTGGCTCTCCATCCTCTCTGCTGTAACCACTAGACTCTACTTCCCTTCCAGAGCTGGGGCGAGAACCCAGGAGTCCTGACTCCCCCCAGCACTAACCACTAGACCCACCCCCAGCCAGAACTGGGGACAGAACCCAGGAGTCCTGCCTCCCCCCAGCCTAGGCTTTGCCTGTAAAATGAGGATCATGAATCTGCCCCCCTCTGGGGGGCGCTGTGAGCTCTGCTGATGAAACACTAGGTCACAGCTGCGGCTTCGTATTGTGACTATTTGCCAGAGAGAAATGGGATTTCTTGAGCTTCTTCCCTTATAGCATCCCCCTCCCGACCTTCGTTCCCGCCCGGTAATGGGGACCAACTCCCCCGGTTCCCCCCCCTGATTTTGGCAGCGGGGTGGGGCGGGATGGCTGCTGTTACCTGCCCTCTGTTCCGGTGCAGGTACGAAGACAGCCGTCTGGCCGAGACCGTGTACCAGCTGCACGTCCGGCTGCTGGCTGCCGACGGGCAGACGCCCCTGCGGGAATTCCACCACCAGGGCCCCGAGCACGGGGCATCCCGGGAGAAGAAGAACTGGTGCCATGTAAGGGAGACCCCCCCCCCGGGAAGGGAGGGGGGCGAGACAGCTCAGGAGTAGCAGGGGTAGGGGTGACTTGGATGCACAATGTCTGGGCTAGGTCCCAGTCTCCTTAGCGTGCCAGGCCCCAAGGACCCACCGAGGCAGGCCCATAACTTGAGGGAAACTGAGGCACGCATCGGCATCATGCAAATATTACAGCTGCTTCCCACTTGGTCACAGTGGGATCAGGCCTTGCCAGTGCAGTGGGCGGTTAGCTCTCCTGGTTTGCACTTCTGATTCTGTCTGTGACACTGAGTAAAGGCACATCAGGACTGTGCCTCAGTTTCCCCAGTTGCCCAATGGGTGGTTGAGCACAGAGGGAGATGGGGACTGGGATGGGGCACCAGGGGTGGGGAAGATGCAGCGCTGGTTCGGGCTCGGTCCTGATGTTTTCCCCGTTTCAAAGGTTTCCCACGTTTTCCACGGCTACGGCCCGGGAGCGCGCTACGTCCATTTCCAGCACCGGACCTTGGACGCCGAGACGCCGGGCGGGCTCTGCCGCACCAGAGCGACGGACAGCAGCGTCTCCGTGCAGCTGCGGGACTGACGGACGGGCTGGCAGCCGGGGGGCGGGGGAGGGCGTGGTTCGGTTTCTGTTCCCCCGGGGGCTGACGACAGTACCCGGGCAAAAGCCGGTGCTGGATTCACTGGGAGCAGAGAGCCCTGTCCCCTCTCTGTGCCCTCGGGGCAAAGCTGGGGCTGGGTGAGGCCTGTCAGGTCAGTCTCACAGCGGGGGGCTGGGAGCCAGGACTCCTGGGTTCTATGCCCAGCTCTGGGAGGGGTGTGGGGTCTAGTGGTTAGAGTGGGGGTGGGGCAGTCTGAGAGCCAGGACTCCTCGGTTCTATTCCTAGCTTTGGGAGGGGAGTGGGGTCTTGTGGTTAGCCCTCCTGGTTTGCACTTCTGATTCTGTCTGTGACACTGAGTCAAGGCATGTCAGGTCCGTGCCTCAGTTTCCCCATTTGCCCAATGGGGTGATAGTTGCAGGGGAGCTGTGAGGCTGTATTCAAGATGGGACCTGAGCAGTGGCATTAAAGAATTTCTGGTGCTTCCTGTGAGCCTACAGCCTGTCTTCTTGGCCTCAGCCCCTGTTGCCCCTTCCCCTGTGGTATACCAAAGCCAGTGTTTATTGAGTGCTACCCCGACCCCAGAGGTGGTTGCAACCTAGCGTCGGGCGAAGGTTCCCTGTATAAACAGCCGCTGTGCTCCACCCCAGAGGCAGCTGCATCTCAACTCCAGGCAAGGGATCCCTGTGTTAACTGCTGCTGTGTCTGCATCCCAGTGTCGGGTGAGAGATCCCTGTATGAACAGCTGCCACGCCCCACCCCAGAGACGGCTGCATCTGAGCAGCTGGTGAAGGATCCCTGTATAAACAGCCCTGCCCCAGGTGTCCAGTGGTTTGGGCTCCCAAGCTCAATTTCTTATACCAGCAGAAGCCTGCCATAGCAGATAGAGCTTCTCCCAGTTCCCCAGGTGAAATAAGCTACCCCGGTGTGACACTCTATACCTCAGAGGAGCGCCCTATAAACCCCATATTCCTCATTGTGATATTTCACTACCAGGGGTCAGCAACCTTTCAGAAGTGGAGTGCCGAGTCTTCATTTATTCACTCTGATTGAAGGTTTCGCGTGCCGGTCATACATTTGAACGTTTTTAGAAGGTCTCTTTCTATAAGTCCATAATATAGAACTAAACCGTTGCATGTAAAGTCAATAAGGTTTTTAAAATGTTTAAGAAGCTTCATTTAAAATTAAAATAAAACGCAGAGCCCCCCAGACCGGTGGCCAGGCCCCGGGCAGTGTGAGTGCCACTGAAAAGCAGCTCGCGTGCCGCCTTTGGCACGGGGGCCATAGGTTGCCTACCCCGACAATGCAGTGACTCACCCCTGCATGAGGCCACCCCAGGGGAACTGTTCAACTTTGCCTGGAGATAGCGGGACCAGATGTCCCGATTTTATAGGGACAGTCCCGATATTTGGGGCTTTTTCCTATATAGGCTCCTATCACCCCCCACCCCCGTCCCGATTTTTCACCCTTGCTGTTTGCTCGCCCTACCTGGTGACTCAGCCATGCCCCCCAGCCATGCCTGGACTTCTGTTCTCCAAGCACATGGATTTAGGGTATAAAACAGAGCACAGGGGTCCCAGGCTTCACCTTTCTCCTCCCCCCACCCACCCTGCAAGCAACAAGAACGCTCAGAAGACTGAAGACTCCAACAGGGGGGTCTGGCCCAGGTTTCAAGGGGGAAACCTGTGTATTATGAACTGTGACATCCAGTGGGGTGAGAAAACCGCTTGATCGAAATACTGCCCAGTGTCTTACAGGTTTAGGATTGAGATTTCTTTGGTAACTAACTCTGACTTTTTGCCTATCACTTATAATCGCTTAAATCAGTGGCTCTCAAATGTTTGTACCGGTGACCCCTTTCACACAGCAAGTCTCTGAGTGTGACCCCCCTTATAAATTAAAAACACTTTTTAGTATATTTAACACCATTATAAATGCTGGAGGCAAAGCGGGGTTTGGGCTGGAGGCTGACAGCTCACGACCCCCCATGTAATAACCTCGCGACCCCCTGAGGGGTCCCGACCCCCAGTTTGAGAACCCCTGACTTAAATCTCTCTTTTTGTAATCAATTTCCTGTTTCTCCTTCCCAGTGAGTTAGGACTGGAGTGCTTGGTAAATCTGCTCAGGTTTCCAAAGGCCGGGGTATGTCCACTTTCCATTGATGACGTGGCGACTCAATGAATAAACTCGCCTTGCTCGAGAAAGGGTCTTGAGCAGTGCCAGATATTCCTAAAATACAAGGCTGGGAGCTGGGGGGATTTGGGTGGTGCCTTTCTCTGTGCGATTCGTGAGTGGCTCCGGGATTCATGCAATCTAGCTGGGTGCATGCCATGTACTGAGTGTTAACAGCACCTGGTGCTTGCCACCAGTAAGGCATTGACAACCCCCAGGATAGTGAGAAAAGGGGGCACAGTGGGCCCACCCCAGGGATCCCCTCACACCCGGTAAAAGGGCATTTACCCTGATAGCGCTGCGTGGACATGGGAGCCTTTGCCACTATAGAAATCGCACCCAGCCACCACTCTCCTCACCGGCATTGCCAAAACTTCCCGCCGCAGACCTGGCCCGAGTCGCTCTGTGCCTCAGTTTCCCCAGCTGTACAATAGCGAGCTTAGACACTCAAGTACCGGCTGAGACAGCTAAACCCTGAGTGGGAAATGAGAGAGGCAGCGTGGCCTGGCTGGATTCTATCACTGGCTCCGCCACTCGCCGGCTGGGTGACCTTGGACAAGTCACCGCCCCGCTCCGTGCCTCGGTTTCCCCATGTGTGAAATGGGGATCGTGCTACCGCCCTCCTTGGTGCAGCACGTTGCGAACTGCTGCTGGAAGCGCTAGCAATGACTAGTATTGTCTCGTCAGCACAGCTATGTTTATTGCAGGGGAAGGCGTGATAAAAGCCCGGGGGCGGGGGAGAGGGTTTGATGAGAATCGGATCTAGGGGGTAAAACCAAGCTAGGCCTACGTGCTGGAAGATTACCGCCGCCGGGAAGTATTAAGCAGAGCATCGAACCTCTCTGGCTGATGGTTATTTGGTACTGCCGAGAATGCGGTAGGTGCTGGATAAAGTTCAGATTGACACAGCCGCCCCCCAAGGGGGTTTGAAATTTAAAGGGGAATTTACCAGCCACTCTCCATAGCTCCCTGATGCCGAGATGCTTTTCCAGTGGCGTGGTCTTGCCGGAAAATCACCCAGGTTTCAGACAAACAGCACACCTGCGAAAGCTGGGCTAAAGCCATCCCAGACGCCTCAGCCCGAGGGGGCTGGGGACGTGGGCACGAAGCCATGGTGCTGTGAGCTGGCAGCAATCACTCAGGCGCCGTGGGATAGCTGTTCCTGGAGGCGGATAGCATGGTGGTGTGCGGGCACTGAATACCGAAGCAGTCAGGGATGCAGGTTGCCCGGTTAGAGGTTTGGTGTTAGCGGTGGGATTAAGGATTGGCCCAGCAGGAGGTTTGGTGCCAGAGGTGGGATAAAGGCTTGGCCCGGCGGAAGGTTTGGTGCCAGCGGTGGGATAAAGGCTTGGCCCGGCGGAAGGTTTGGTGCCAGCGGTGGGATAAA